TAAGAGAGAAAAACGAGAATTAAGTGGATCCCAGGTCTTGGTCTGAAGTGATTGGGTGGATCTTGTTTCCATTCAATGAAAGAGGACTGGGTATGGGGGGGGTAACAGTCATTTTGAGATGCCCAGGTGCTGGCTTGAGAGTAGTTAGAGATCTGCATGCACCCAGATCTCAAGAAACAGGTTTGGGTTGGCGACGTAGCGTGTGGACTCAACAGAGCTCATTGTCCATGAGTAAGCTCCAACTCTGAAGAACCCCAGTCGTTGTCTCTGTCTGGTGAGGCGGAGTCGGATCGGACTCACTGTGGCCCTGTGCACAGCAGGATGAGATACTGCCTGGTCCCGGCCGTTCTCACAATTGTTCGTACGTTTGAGTGCACTGTTGCAGCCATTGGGTCAATCCATCCTATGACGGCCCTTCTTCTTCTTCACTGCCCCTCTCCTTTACCACGCATGGCGTCTTTCTTCAGGGATCCACAGGACAGGAGAAAACCGCCGCCCCATTGGGCTTCCAAGGTTGGAATCTTGGAAGCAGTTTGCCAAATCTTTACCCCTTGCAGTTAAGAGTTGAGTCATCAAATAATGTACCGTCAGGGATCCTCAACAGAGAACAGTCCCACAGCCACCCGGTCGATTCTGACTCAGTGGGGTGGCTATGGCAGCATTGTTGGTAAGAGATGATAATGACTCAAAATGTGTTGAGGAGAAATGAGGGAAACAACCCCAACATGGTCTAACTGGAAAATCAAGCCAAACTTAATGCCATTTAAGTCAGTTCCAACTCACAGTGTCCCTAGAGACCGAGGAGACCTGCCCCTGTAGGCTTCCGGGGCCGTAAATCTTTTGGGGAGCAGAAAGCCTCGTCTTCCTTTCTCAGAGCAGCTGGTGGGTTTGAACTACTGACCTTGCAGTTAGTAGCCCAATATGGACTCCACTGTACCACCAGGGCTTCTCTCCCACAGGAAAACGGTGCCAAAACAAGAGTGTAGCGTATGGGAGGCTATGGAGGGGGCAGAGGGAAGAGATTTTTGCGCTGGTCACATTATTTTCCCTATGAATGAGGAAGTAATGATCGCAAAGTGAAACAGTGCCGAGTGACAAGATCCAAAGCGCTGGTCATATAGTCCAGGAGAAGGGTAGAGTGGAGAGGATGCAGTGTGAGGGGAAACCGGCCCCTAACACTATCACGGGTCAGTAGGCACAATTGTACGGTTATAATATATACAGAGATCATAGTAAAGCCACAGAGAGTAGGAGAGATAGGAGAGAGAGTGGAATAAAGGAGTCAGACACATTTTATGGTAGCCCTTCTTGGTGGTCCACGTGGGGATGCGGGAGGATGGAGAGGGCAGGAGAGAGTGTCTCTGCTCTTTATTTCTGACCAAGGCCTGAGATACTTAGGGGCGTGATTACAGGTAACCACACACATCACAGGAAGGAGCTATACAATAAGTATATGTGTCTCAAGAAGGGGATGTACAATAGGCATACACGTGACAGGAAGAGGATGAGGTAGGGATATACACGCAATAGGAAGGGGAGGGATTGGGGGTACACATGTGACAAGATGGGCGGACCGTAGACTCAATATGGCAGGCTAACCTTGGTCACCCTTGAGTGGGCTTGAGCCTCCCTGGACTCTCCTTCAAGGGAACCATTCACTACCCTTATCACAAGTGCGTGGGTCCTACTTAAGGTGGGACAGACTATGCAGTCTGATTGTTCTAGATGGCTGATAACCCTTAGGGAGAGTAACCTCTGACTGCTTTCGTTGCCCTCCAAGTGCACAATCGATTACCTTGTGTAGCAAGCAGCGTCTTAGCTCTGGCGTACACTTAGGGCAGCCAACCTGGCGAAAAGCCTCTTTATATCCCACAATGAAACAACTGGAGACTTACGGTATTGGAAAGCCCTTTTTGAGATCTGGACAAGAATGTCATTGTAGATTGATTTACAATCGCTGAAAACTAGAAACAAACCCATCATGCATCATCAGGTGACTGGCTAAACAGGCTGAAGCACATCGATCCGGTGGGAAAGGACGGCACGAACTACAACAGAGATGACTCCGCCAGACAGTATGCCGTGTGAAAGAACCCAGCCACAAGAGTACATAATTTGTAACTCCACTTACATGAAGACCAATAACGAATCTGCTAGTGACCAGCAAGTCAGTGCCGACTCCATGTGCGTCAGAGTAGCACTGTGCTCAGTAGGATTTTCGGTGGCTAATATTTTCAAATTAGATTTGATGACGAGATGACTAATCAAACTAGATCACCAGGCCTCTTTTTGGAGGTGCCTCTGAGCAGACGCGAACCTCCAACCTTTGGGCAAGGACCCGAGCATGTTGGCATCACCCAGAAATCCCACAGCTACTGAGAAGCCCAAACCACAACAACTCAACCTACTGCCCTCCCGGTGGCCCCGGGTGTTGTGGAGGAGACCCGCTCTCCACAGGGCTCCTGTTGGTGACCCTTTGGGAGTAGATTGATCACCAAGCCTTTCTTCCAAGAGCGTGAGAGGAGAGGAGCTGGGAGCTGCGGCCGCCCAAGCGTCCTGGCAGGACAGGCATGGAGACCAAGCGTCCTGGCAGGAAAGGGTGGAGAGGTACAACCAGTGAGTGTGAAGCTTCTCCCTGAACAGGGAGGCTCCGGAGTGGGTCTAGATGACAGGGGATATGCAGACAAGAATAAACCACCATCGAAACGGCATCGTGCGAAGCTGACCACAGGATCGCCCCCACGTTCTGAACTCTTTCCTCATGTACATAATCTCCATGACTCATATTAAAACATTTCCAAAGAAAACTATGTTGAAAAAGACGAATGAGCGACCATCGAGCCCAGAAGCAACAAAGCCCACGTGGAAGAAGCACATCACGATGGGTCGAGGGGACCGGGTATCAAGCACCAAAGGGGGGCGGAAATCATATCATCGTGAATGAGGGAAGTTCGTGATGGGGACCCAGTGCCTATCTGTAGACAACTGGATATACTTTGCAGAGGGGTAGTGGGGAGGAGATGAGTCACTCAGGGTGCAGTGTAGCATCAATGAAACACACAACTTTCCTCTAGTTCTTAAACGCCCCCTCCCCCCGCCCCCATCCCCACTATCATGATCCCAATTCTACCTTGCAAACCTGGTTAGACCAGAGGATGCACAGCGGTGCAGATGGGAACTGGAAACGCAGGGAATCCAGGACAGATGAACCCCTCAGGACTAGTGGTGAGAGTGGCGAGGGAGGGAGGGAAGAGGGAAGGGGGGGTAGAAAGGGGGAACCGATTACAAGGATCTACATATAACCTCCTCCCTGAGGGATGGGTAACAGAAAACTGGGTGAAGGAATACACAGGGCAGTGTAAGAAATGATAAAATAATAATTTATAAATTATCAAAGGTTCATGAGGGAGGGGGGGAGCTGTGAGGGAGGGAGGGGGCAAGAAAAATGAGCTGATTCCAGGAGCCCAAGTGGAAAGCGAGAGTTTTGAGAATGATGAGGGCAACAAATGTGTAAGTGTGCTTTACACAACTGATGTATTGTGGATTGTAATAAGAGTTGTATGAGCCCCCATAAAATGATTAAAAACAAACAAACAAAAAAAGGTGAATGCGCTTTAACGTTATTAAGAGCTTTATGATTTCAGTCTGATTCATTTTCAGTTTTCCAAGTGTTAAGAATTAAGGTAAATAGTGTAAGACTGTAATCCAGCAACCAGGAATGCTTGTTGAAAACCAGGTAGACCGATGTTTATCCCTTTAAGTTCTGGGAAAAGTCAGGAGAAGTTGCTCCAGTGTGCACTGGCAGGGCCGAGCATCAGGAAGAGGATGTGATGTCTGCTGGCCCATGGCCTGTGATGGGGAGACACCAGGTTGTCAGTGGTCCTTCCCCAAGCCTCTCCTCTTTTCTTTGTTGCCTACTGTGTAAAAATCTCTTTCCTTTGGTTTGGAGAGAGAGCTGAAGAAACTAAATCCCTTTTGTGTGTGTGTGTTGTATCAAGGAAGCACATAAAGTTGTCTTTATCCTTTCCGGAAGTTCTTGGCGTACTTTTGCTTGGCTTCAGTGGCAGGTAGACATCTGAGTTTGGGGGTCACAGCCGCCTTCTCGTTAGGCCAGATGTGCAAGTCATGAGTCAAAGCCCAAGCAGGCTGGCTCGACTTCTAAGTCCCACTGTCCCGGGACATGGAGTAATCAACCCCCGTGCAGTAGTCCCACTTGACTAGGTGGGCTGTCCATTCCACTCTGCGATCCCTCCCGGGGAAGTGACTTCCCCTCTCTCTTCAAACCTCGGGCTTCTCACAGTTGGCGGCACAGAGACATAGACTTTTTGAGTTAGCAGTAGCGCGTCGACAGAATAAAGCGAAGGAAGGGACAGGGAAGAAGCTGAGGGAGGGCCGGAGACAGGCCCCCCATCCACCCACACCCCCAAAGCCACCAATTGGTGCTTCTGGCACCCCTCGTTCTCCATGACCACCAGGGGGCAGCCTTGGCCTTGCCCTGGCACCACCGTCTGGTCTTAAGTTCAAGGTTAGGCCTTGATCTGGCTAATGGGTGGTTTTCCAGGTAACTGGTTGAGTTTCCTGGTGTCGATTCTCACTGACAGTGACAGACAGGACAGAGTTGAGCTGCCCTATGGGGTTTCGTAGGTGAGAAATCTTTTGGGGAGGGTGGTTGTGGGGGCAGTTAGAATCTTTGCAGGAGCGGCCAGTCACCTTGTCTTTTCGCCCCCGGAGCTGCAAGCGGGTTGGAAAACCTTTGGCGCGGAGCGTTCCGTTGAGCTGGGTGCTTTAACCACGCACGACACCGCCAGGGGTCTGGGCAGATGACTAGAAAGGCTAATAATTAGTTCAAGAGTATACAACAAAAATAAGTTTGAAAAGATTAGAGAAAAGAAAAAGATAAGAGAACCAGTTAGTGGGCAGCTGACATTCAAAATGACCTTGACTCCATCTATACCCTACCATTAGACTGCTGTCTCCGCAGGAAAGAAAAAAGCTTCAAATCACTGTATCTGGAATATGGGGACAGGACCGCCTATTCAGTGTTAGGAGCACCCTCACAATGAAAACACAATGAAAACGTTGGACTGGTATTAAAGGCGCCAAAGAGAGAGTGTATGGTGAGGCCTGAGTCCGTGTTTCACTTGACATATGACCTGTAGTCAAGTCCTTCTGTACTATGTACTCTTGTAGAGTCCTGGTACTTGTGGGAATCCCCATAGAACCTTGGCAGGACTTGTAAAGCAATCTCTTTCCTTTGTGTCTTTAAAAGTCATTATCTATTGCATGTGATGGGCACTCTGAAGGTTCTCAGGAAATGCTTGGCGAAGAACAGAACAAACGAGTGGGTTTCCCAGCGGCGGGCGAGTCCCTTGGAATGCCACAGGGGCAGGTATAGCTCTTTCACGGGGATCTGCATTTCATTCAAGCCAAACGCATCCTACCAAGCTACCCAAGTCAACACTAAGTCACTGCAGCTCCCCGAGAACCTCTCCAGCCGCCTCCACCCCTGCTCCCTCCAGCACCAGTTGCTCGCCCCACTCCCCGCTTATGTATAAATTCTGCAGCAGTTCAAGCAGCAGGGCCAGCTGGAAGGAAAAAGCAAGGGTGAACTTGGGCACTGTGGTGCGAGGGGACAGGAAATAGGTTAGCACCCGCATCTAGGGGGGCTCCTGGAAACATATTCTGGGTAAAGGGCCGCCTTCTTTGGCCTTCTAAGACCCGAGGTGTGGAGAACCACATCCTTTCACCAGTACTTGCTTATCATCATCCTGCCCACCCTTTCCTTCCCAGACATCTGAGTCCCACTCTGCTCCACAAACCCAGGCAACCCGCCCACCGGAGAAATGCTCGAGCCTTCGAAGACCCAGGCAGCAGCAGCGGTGGCAGCTTCTCTCCCGAGGGAAGTCAGCATTCGGTGCTTGAAGTCCCAGGCAAGTGGGGTTCTTAACAAGTGATGTGGGAGTCCTGTGTGCAGTAGGAAGCTCATTGCCCTCACTGGTGACGGAAGGCGTGGCCCCAAGTAGTGGACCGTTCTTCTACCACCCAGACCTCTCTGCTCAGGTTCCAGTCACTAACCTCACCACCCTACAGCATGACCTGGATTCTGTTGCTCACCTTCCTCATGGCCCATCCAGGTGACAATGCTTTCCAGCGACATGGGGCTGGGAAGCAG